AAACAGCTTGCACTGACATTTGGATTTAGAGTGTAATGCATCTTCCCTGAGTTTTACCTTCCCAGTCAGCCAGTTACTTTTTGGTATATTTTACAATCCCTCCACTGTTTCAAAGTCGCGATATTGCTGAACTGTTAATGCCCTTGATGATATTGCCACCATTCGATGTCGGCTCTTCCTATCATTGCGTAGCAATGATTGTACTCCTTCTTCATACTACCCTTCCTTGCCTTACTCTTAATGTCACCAGCCTCCAAAACACCCTAATATTTTACCATTCTTCTTCACGTCCAATATTCGGAATATACTTCCATCAGGTAGCATCACCCCTTCTGACTATACAGACTTGCCTGTTTTCATTGCCGACCATCATGGCACACTTTTCAATTTAAAAATCCATTCTAGTGCGACTGTAGAACAAATGAACCCTTTGCACTGCCAAGTTAATTTTCTTGTTATATTTTCCTTCCATACATCTTAGAATCATCCAAGATCATCAGATGATTGACTTTGTCCTCTTCTTTGCTTAGCTGATAGCCAGCTTCATACTCACGCAGTATACCAATGATAGGCAACCTTGCAATAACAAACATAGGGGAAAAGTGTGCAATATCTCCGTGCAATATCCCTTTTCTAATTGCCACTTCACCCATACCCTCGCCAGGTCTTCATGCTTCCTTCATTAACCGTTTACTGTTGTCTGGAGAGGCTAGAAGCTAACTGAAGAGTTTTTTTTATTATTTAATGAATGATGAATTAATCGCAGCCCTTTTAATAGTCCACCCATGCAATCGCCAAGTTAGTTTTCTATTACTTGCAGTCACGTAATATTGCTCTAGCTATAGGCAATTGTTCTTTCGTTCCCCTACTTTTTCTTGACAGCCTTTTTGTTCATAAGTTAACGTTGTGATAGATACTGGTACAGATTTACTACTATAATCCCCGTAAGTACCTACTATCATCATCATCATCATCATCATCATCATCATCATACTGCCATTATCATTACTGTCACCGTCATGGTCATCGTCAACATCGCAATCGTTATTATTATTATTATTATTATTATTATTATTATTATATTCATCATCATCATTATTATTATTATCTATTTCATCTTTTTCCAGGCCGTGTCCTCGTATAATATGACGAACAACTCTCTAACTGGAACGAGTTTCCATGACCCCTTAGAACGTTCTATCAGTAAAATAGGTTTTGAAGTGACCTTGTCCATTCTTATTTGTCTCGCCTCCTTCTTCGACAACTTATTAGTCGTCTATGTTGTCCGTAAAGACTCCAGACTCAAGAGCTTAACGTATGTATTCATCCACAACTTGGCATTGTCTGACATTTCCATGGCATCGCTGTACATGCCCTTTTGGGTAACAAGCCTGTATACAGGGACTTGGATTTTTAGCGAAACGTGGTGTGTGTTTCAAGGTGCAATTTTGGGAACTTTAGCAATTGCTTCTGCCCTGAATATGGGACTTATCGCCTTTAACAGACATATCCGAGTCGTCAAACCAGCGCTATACAGCAGGCTTTTCCCAAGCAAGAGAGTGGCACGACTCTACTGTGCCCTGGTATGGATCGCTTCTCTGCTTCTCGCAACACCGCCATTATACGGCTGGGGCAAGATAGTGTACCATCCTCTTTTTACTGCCTGCTGTTTTGATCGGAAATTCGAAAATATTTCATACGCCATTGTTATCGTGGGCATAGTGTTCAACGGAAGCACAGCTTCAATATTTTACTTCTACTACAATATTTATAAGACTCTGAAAGAAAGCACTCAAAATCTAAATGCCCATAGCATGGAAGATAGAGCGGCTTCATCAGGACGTCCTGAAACTGATATTAGACTATTGAAAACCAGTTTCACAGTCGTTTGTGTATTCCTGATGACATGGGGACCAATTTCTTTTGTTGTGGTTCTTGAGACCGCTGGACGCTCTATCCCAAGGGAGGTTTTTATAGCATCTATGTACCTTATGTTCAGTAGTAGTTTAGTAAATCCAATTATATACGGGATTATGAATCCGCAGTTTAGAGCAGCCTTCGAAAGGGCTTTAACATTTCGTGGTTACGGCAACAGCCAAATATATGGTTCTAGATGAAATGGAACCAAACCTTCCAGGCAACCTTGATCTTTAGGTATGAGGGCTCAGAATGAGCCTCGAGGGCTGCCGTTTTTTAGTGTTCGTGTTGTCGGTGCCACCATCGTTGACTTTGAAAAGACAGGAGGGTTGGGGAGGGCAGAAATAGCGACCAACGGGGTGGCTATTAGGGTAAAGGAACGGAGAAAACTCCTACATTACAAGCTAACTCGCAATATTCCAATGCAACGAATGCAACTGAAACATTTTTCATTTAAGGGTTACGTTTGATTGATTCAACTACCCAAGGGGTTGAAGGCCTGGGTCAAAGGTGTGTTCTGAGGATATGAATGATTGCCAATATCGCTACCTACAACAAAATGAATTTTTCCTCAAAAGTAAATCTGGAGGTTTTCGTGTGCCTCAACGTTTAATTATGGTCACCAAAAATTAAAAACGAAGGAAATTGGCGAATCGGTGGTGAATTCACTTTGTTTGGATAAACAAATTGCTATTTCTGAAAGAGGATAAACCTATCTAGCTTTCTACGCTTGGAATGAATGTAAGCGAAGTTTAAGTTTTCCCTCATAATTTTTCAATGAAAAGCAATGGATGGTCACTGTCCAAACGTTAAGTGTTAGAAATATTCAATATGGATTAGAAAAATGTTATTACTCGCTTTCTTTTCTTAAACCAGCCACCAATCAGTCACCAGCACTTGACATATCACGTGACTTATTAACACAAAATTTATATTTAAATGTTAAAGAAAATGAGTTCTTTATGTGCGCCAAATTTATATTCAGCGCCATCATCTATGCCAAAGTTATAGGCAATAATTCATTTTCCACAGGTAAACCCCTTAGTCCCAGGCCTTAAACTACTTGAGTACTTAAATATGCAAAGGTATCTTAAAACAACATGTAGCGCAAAGTCAATCAAAGAAAGAAGCCCAAGGAAATCAATGGTTCCTCGAAGGATCGGTATTGTACGGTACAATCAAAATTCAACCAGTATAACCAAAACAAAAAAGACTTAAAAATTCCATTGAAAGAAATTAAGCGTGAAGTTAAACCAATTTTTATGCATTTTAGAGAAGATCCATCTGACCGATTGGCAAAACCCGTTTTCAAAAAACGGAATGAGGGTTATGAATTTCAAATAGGACGACCTTGATATGAAAGGTCTATTGTTTATTATTAACCTGTATACTGTTGCTGGCAGTACCCGAGTGCGTTTACTGCTTGTCGGCGACGGTCGCAAGGGAAAATCCCAATTTCACTCACCTCCCATTTTTCGAGCCGCTTTAACTCCAAATTCATTCCGCGGGATAGTGTTGTGAACAGTCGCGCGGGGCAAGTTTTGCCAGCTACGTATCCTACTTAGTTTTATTAGTTGAAGTTATCAGAAGTCCCAGATGGATAGAAGTGGACAAAACCTCGAAATTTTTCCCAGTTAAAATGACTTACTTACTTATGACAGAAACAAACAAAAAAATATTTGACTCAGAAATATTGAATACCACGCCTTTCTGGAGGGCCATAAAACAAACAAATGATAAATGGAATATTTGTAAATGATGTGATTATCTAGACTGAAAAAGAAAAAAAGAAATAAAATACCCTGAGGTGCTTCATTTTTGCGAGTTATATATTTTGCTGTCTCTATTCTTATCATTAAACGTTTATTTCACAGTCGAAATTATATGTTGTGACATTCACGGAGTTTCGTTGGTTGATAGATTGTGGCACAAAACTTTACTCCGCTGTAGGAGGGAGCATACTGGTATAAATCGACCCCGAGACCAAACGAGGGCGTTACCGAGAAACAACAACAAGTGTTATTTCGTACAATGAGTTAAGTCCCCGAAAATTTTGGCGGAAGACGAAGCGCGGCATCCTACTGTGACTTTTTCAGTGCCTAGTTTACTACAAAAAGCACAATATTAGCTTAGATTTTGGGAAATTATTTACAAAAAAAAATGGGAATGAAATAGGAACGTAGTGCTTTGTTTGTAAACATTAGCTTATTTCAGGTGCAGCTCAAAAGATGAATAAAAGAAAACATTGCGTCTTCTAAATTTCGTAACTGCCATTTCTAGCGCAAACCGTTCCATATTTCTGACCAAAAGAGCTGAAAAAATATACTCCTTGGTGCCGCACATGCCTGTTTAACCTTTTAAATAAAACAACTTACATTCAAGTTTCTGTGACTTTTCAGCATCCGGTTAACGATAGAAAGAAGAACATTACCTGAGATTTTGAGGATGTCTGATTTGCAAGAAAGAAATGGGAGTGAGAACTTAATAATGTAAAGATCTGTTTCAGTAAACAATGGCTTGTTTAGGTGAAACATACGTAAAGGCTTTTCTTATGCCGAGCAAAGGATCATACACTATAAGTTGTTGAAAAACTGCCCATTTACAGACCCTCATCCCAGCAACCCAAGCTCGAAGTCTTTGCAAATGCTGGTTTATTATCAAAAAAGACACGTTTAAGAAAACGAGTTGAGTACACCACGAGAGACTAGTCTTGTAGAAGGAGCAATTACACCGAGGTAAATGGAGAACAGTTCATTTCTCAGTAGCGCCATTATGCAATATGCTTTATGTCCATTCATTCGCAGCAGTGCTTGCCTGATTTTAAGTGTAAGAGCTGACGCACTTTTTATCTTCCTTGTCTCATTTATTGATAGCTGATGACTCTTTTGCAGTAAGGAGATTTTATTAGCCTGCATATCTATGATCGTAGTTATCCAGTTTGGATTGAAAAGACGAAAAATAGTAATATAATGTGCCAAACAGAGCAAATTAAGGATAAAATTCAGTATAACATGGATGAAAAAGGATTTTATATTTGAAATTTACTTTGGTTTTACTTAAGTTCCATTACTTTATTCACTCTAGCAACAGGAATAAAATACGGTAAATACAAGGATGAAGCATATATGAAAGCTGAGAAGAAAAAATAATGAGGCGTTTAAAACCTGGGCTTCTCAGGTGCTAATAATTAAAAACAAAAGAAGTAGCCAGAATAAATTTTATGACTTCTAATCGCACTTCGGGTAAACAAAACAGGATGAATGTGTTTTAGTTATTAAAGTTAATTCTTTCACATAAGGGATAATCATTTATGCGTTTTCTGGTTCATTCGCATTGGTATATTTTAATTTTGCGTAATTAACTATTAGAAATCAGGGCCAAAAACTTTGCATTCGCTTTGATACTACATCGAACACATAGTCTTGGCATCAAGGTTGTTGGTAGCTTCTTGGAATCAATTTGGTATACTGTGAAAAAGGTACATTGAAATTATTTGACTTTTTCCAAAAAGAGAAAGAAAGTAACCAATAAAGCCGAACACAATACAAGGCCGTTTATTAGAAGGCATTCATTTAGTTGACGACAATAGGCCTTTTCCACGATGGAGTCATTTTACTACTACTTAACTACAGAATGCTTCCGGGTTTTTCTTTCTTGTGCAAATTAGTCTTGGCGTTTTCAATGAATATTGTTACGTTATTACCTATGAAAAACTTTTAAAACTCTTTCTTCTCTTTTTTAACAACAAAAAGCCACTTTGTCCCAAATAAAACCAAAGACACCCTGTATGTTTTCTTTCCACATTCAGGACTATGTGATGTTACCCAAGAAAAGAGTTTCTTTCAAATTTTGTCCGACCCACGTAAACACAAGTGCGACATAATCTATAAACAGCTTGCACTGACATTTGGATTTAGAGTGTAATGCATCTTCCCTGAGTTTTACCTTCCCAGTCAGCCAGTTACTTTTTGGTATATTTTACAATCCCTCCACTGTTTCAAAGTCGCGATATTGCTGAATTGTTAATGCCCTTGATGATATTGCCACCATTCGATGTCGGCTCTTCCTACCATTGCGTAGCAATGATTATACTCCTTCTTCATACTACCCTTCCTTCGCCTTATTCTTAACGTCACCAGCCTCCGAAACACCCTAATATCTTACCATTCTTCTTCACGTCCAATATTCGGAACATACTTCCATCAGGTAACATCACCCCTTCTGACTATACAGACTTGCCTGTTTTCATTGCCGACCATCATAGCACACTATTCAGTTTAAAAATCCATTCCAGTGAGACTGTAGAACAAATAAACCCTTTGCACTGCCAAGTTAATTTTCTTGTTATATTTTCCTTCCATACATCTTAGAATCATCCAAGATAATCAGATGATTGACTTTGTCCTCTTCTTTGCTTAGCTGATAGCCAGCTTCATACTCACGCAGTATACCAATGATAGGCAATATTGCAATAACAAACATAGGGGAGAAGTGTGCAATATCTCCGTGCAATATCCCTTTCCCAATTGCCGCTTAAACCACACCCTCGCCAGGTCTTCATGCTTCCTTCATTAACCGTTTACTGTTGTCTGCAGAGGATAGAAGCTAAAGAGTTTTTTTATTATTAATGAAAAAGAAATTTAACCGTAGGCTTTTTAATAGTCCACCCAGGCATGCAATCGCCAAGTTAGTTTTCTTTTTCTTGGAGTCACGTAATATTGCTCTATCTATAGGCAATTGATCTTTGGTTCCCCTACTTTTCTCTCGACAGCCCTTTTGTTCATAAGTTAATGTTGTGATTGATAGTAGTACAGATTTACTACTATAATCCCCGTAAGTACCTACTATCATCATCATCATCATCATCATCGTCATCATCACCATCATAACCATTATCATTATTGTCACCGTCATGGTCATCGTCAACATCGCCATCCTTATTATTATTGTTATTATTATTATCATCATCATTATTATCTATTTCATCTTTTTCCAGGCCGTGTCCTCATATAATATGACGAACAACTCTCTAACTGGAAGGAGTTTCCATGACCCCTTAGAACGTTCTACCAGTAAAATAGGTTTGGAAGTGACCTTGTCCATTCTTATTTGCCTCACCTCCTTCGTCGACAACTTATTAGTCGTCTATGTTGTCCATAGAGACTCCAGACTTAAGAGCTTAACGTATGTATTCATCCACAACTTAACATTGTCTGACATTTCCATGGCATCGCTGTACATGCCCTTTTGGGTAACAAGCCTGTATACAGGGACTTGGATTTTTAGCGAAACGTGGTGTGAGTTTCAAGGTGCAGTTTTGGGGACGTTAGTAATTGCTTCTGCCCTGAATATGGGACTTATCGCCTTCAACCGATATATCCGAGTCGTCAAACCAGAGCTATACAGCAGGCTTTTCCCAAGCAAGAGAGTGGCACGACTCTACTGTGCCCTGGTATGGATCGCTAGTCTGCTTCTCGCAACACCGCCATTATACGGCTGGGGCAAGATAGTGTACCATCCTCTTTTTACTGCCTGCTGTTTTGATTGGAAATTCGAAAATATTTCATACGCCATTGTTATCGTGGGCGTAGTGTTCAGCGGAACGACAGTTTCAATATTTCACTTCTACTACAAGATTTATAAGACTCTGAAAGAAAGCACTCAAAATCTAAATGCCCATAGCATGGAAGATAGATTGGCCTCATCAGGACGTCCTGAAACTGATATCAGACTCTTGAAAACTAGTTTCGCGGTCGTTTGTGTATTCCTGATGACATGGGGACCAATTACTTTTGTTGTGGTTCTTGAGACCGCTGGATGCTCTATTCCAAGGGAGATTTTTATAATATCCATGTACCTAATGTTCACAAGTAGTTTAGTAAATCCAATTATATACGGGATTATGAATCCGCAGTTTAGAGCAGCCTTCAAAAGGGCTTTAACATTTCGTGGTTACGGCAACAACCAAATATGTCACGGTTCTAGATGAAATGGAACCAAGCCTTCTAGGCAACTTTGATCTCTAGGTATGAGGGCTCAGAATGAGCCTCGAGGGCTGGCGTTTTTTTAGTGTTCGTGTTGTCGGTGTCGCCCTCGTTGACTTTGACAAGACAGGAGGATTGGAGAGGGCAGAAATAGCAACCAAGAGGGTGGCTATTAGGTAAAGGAACGAGGAAAACTCCTAACTAGCTAACTCGCAATATTTCAATGAAACATTATTCATTTAAGGGTTACGTTTGATTGATTCCAACTACTCAAGGGGTTAAAGGCCTGGGTCAAAGGTGTGTTCTGAGGATATGAATGATTGGCAATATCTGTCGCTAGGTGACCTAGAACAAAATGAATTTTTCCTCAATAGTAAATCTTGAGGTTTTTCTTGTGCCTTAACGTTTAATTATGGTCACCAAAAACGAAGGAAATTGGCGAATTGGTGGCGAATTCACTTTGTTTGGATAAAAAAATTGCCTTTCTGAAAGAGGATAAACATATCTAACTTTCTACGTTAGGAATGAATGTACGCGAAGTTTAAAATTGAAGTTTTAAATAATTCAAGATTAAATTTGGGCGGTTAAATGAAGCTTTCCCTCATAATTTTTCAATGAAGAGCAATGGATGGTCACTGTCTAAACGTGAAGTGTTAGAAACATTTAATATGAATTAAAAAAATGTTGTTGCTTATTTCTTTTCTTAAACCAGCCACCAATTGCTCAATAATTTACGATTTTTAGCAAAATGGTCACTTGACATATCACATGACTTATGAACACAATATTTGTACTTTAAAATGTTAAGGAAAATGAGTCCTTTAAGTGCGCCAAATTTTAATCCAGCGCCATCATCTATGACGAAGTTATAGACAATAATTCATTTTCCACAGGTAAACCCCTTAGTTTCAGGCCTTAAACTAATGGGTACTTAAATATGCAAAGGTTTCTTAAAACAACATAGAGCCCAAAGTTTAATTGAGAAATCAATGGTTCTTCGGAGGATTAGTATTGTACGGTACAATAAAAATTCAAGCAGTATAACAAAAAAAAAGACTTAAAAATTCCATTGAAAGAAATTTAGCGTGAAAATTAAACCAATTTTTACGTATTTTAAAGAAGATCCATCTGACCGATTGGCAAAACCCGTTTTCAAAAACGGGATGAGGGTTGCCAATTACAAATAAGACGACCTTAATATGAAAGGTCTATTGTTAACTATTAACCTGTATACTGTAGCTGGCAGCATCTGAGTGCGTTTACTGCTTGTCGGCGACGGAGCGATCGGTGAAGCCGCAAGCGAAAATCCCAACTTCACTCACCTCCCATTTTTGGAGCCGCTTTACCGCCAAATTCATTTCACGGGGTAGTGTTGTGAACGGTAGTCGCACGGGGCAAGTTTTGCCAGCTACTTAGGCCACTTAGTGTTAGTGAAGTTATACAAGTCCCATACGGATAGAAGTGGACAAACCTCGAAATTTTTCCCAGTTAAAATGACTTACTAACTTATGACAGAAACAAAAAAATAAAATATTTGACTCAGGAATATTAAATACCACGCCTTTTCTTGAGGGCCATAAAACAAAAAAAAATGATAAATGGAGTGTTTGTAAATGATGTGATTATCTAGACTGAAAAAGAAATAAAGAAATAAAATACCCTGAGGTGCTTAATTTTTGCGAGTTAAATATTTTGCTTTCACTATTCTTATTTAATCATTAAACGTTTATTTCAAAGTCGAAATTCTATGATGTCACATTCATGGAATTTCGATGATTGATAGATTGTGGCACAAAACTTTACTCCGCTGTCTGAGGGAGACTACTGGTATAAATCGAACCCGAGACCAAAGAGGGCATTACCGAGAAACAACGACCAGTGATATTTCGTACAAGGAGTTAAGTCCTCAAAACTTTTGGCGGAAGACGGAGTGCGACATGCTTTTCGGTTCCTACTGCAATCCGGACGAAAGGATGTTACTATCCCTGCTCCATTTTAGACCAAACCGTTGCTGAAGCACACTCTGATACATGTTTTCATGATTTTTGATGTTTTCAGCTAAACAGAAGCTGCTTCGAAGGGAATGCAAACGCACGTCCACAACTGAAAAGGACTACAATTTAGTCAAGGCGCAACTAAAATGATGAATAATAGTAAAAAGCTGCGTTTTCGAAAATCTGTGTCCTTACCCAATTACAGCGCAAACTGTGCACTATTTTCGATAAAACCAATGTAATCTTAGATAAAACCAATGTACAATTTTCTGTGACTTTTTCAGTGCCTAGTTTACTACAGAAAGCACAATATTAGCTTAGATTTTGGGAAATTATTTACAAAAAAAAATGGGAATGAAATAGGAACGTAGTGCTTTGTTTGTAAACATTAGCTTATTTTAGGTGCAGCTCAAAAGATGAGTAAAAGAAAATATTGCGTCTTCTAAAATCCGTAACTGCCATTTCTAGCGCAAATAGTGCCATATTTCTGACGAAAAGAGCTGAAAAATATACTCCTTGGTGCCGCACATGTCTGTTTAACCTTTTAAATAAAACAACTTACATTTAAGTTTCTGTGACTTTTCAGCATCCAGTTAACGATAGAAAGCAGAACATTACCTGAGATTTTGAGGATTTCTGATTCGCAAGAAAGAAATGGGAGTGAGAACTTAAGAATGTAAACATCTGTTTCAGTAAACAATGGCTTGTTTAGGTGAAACAGAAGCAAAGGCTTTTCTTATGCCCAGCAAAGGATCATACACTATAAAGTTGTTGAAAAACTGCCCATTTTCAGCCCCTCATGCCAGCAACCCAAGCTCAAAGTCTTTACAATTGCTGGTTTACTATAAAAAAAGACACGTTTAAGAAAACGAGTTGGGTACATCACGAGAGACTAGTCTTGTAGAAGGAGCAATTACACCGAGGTAAATGGAAAACAGTTCATTTCTTAGTAGCGCCATTATGCAATATGCTGTATGTCCATTCATTCGCAGTAGTGCTTGTCTGATTTTAAGTGTAAGAGCTGACGCACTTTTTATCTTCCGTCTCTCATTTATTTATAGCTGATTACTCTTTTGTAGTAAAAGTCATAAGGAGATTTTATTAGCCTGCATATATATGATCGTAGTTATCCAGTTTGGATTGAAAAGACGAAAAATAGTAATATAATGTGCAAAACAGAGCAAATTAAGGATAAAATTCAGTATAACATGGATGAAAAAGGATTTTATATTTGAAATTTACTTTGGTTTTACTTAAGTTCCATTACTTTATTCACTCTAGCAGGAATAAAATACAGTAAATACAAGGATGAAGCATATATGAAAGCTGAGAAGAAAAAATAATGAGGCGTTTAAAACCTGGGCTTCTCAGGTGCTAATAATTAAAAACAAAAGACGTAGTCAGAATAAATTTTATGACTTCCAATCGCACTTCGGGTAAACAAAACAGGATGAATGTGTTTTAGTTATTAAAGTTAATTCTTTCACATAAGGGATAATCATTTATGTGTTTTCTGGTTCATTCGCTTTGGTATATTTTAATTTTGCGTAATTAACTATAAGAAATCAGGGCCAAAAACTCTGCATTCGCTTTAATACTACATCGAACACATAGTCTTGGCATCAAGGTTGTTGGTAGCTTCTTGGAATCAATTTGTTATACTGTGAAAAAGGTACATTGAAATTATTTGACTTTTTCCCAAAAACAGAGAGAAAGTAACCAATAAAGCCGAACACAATACAAGGCCGTTTATTAGAAGGCATTCATTTAGTTGACGACAATAGGCCTTTTCCACGATGGAGTCATTTTACTACTACTTAAGTACAGAATCCTTCCGGGTTTTTCTTTCTTGTGCAAATTAGTCTTGGCGTTTTCAATGAATAGTGTTACGTTATTACCTATGAAAAACTTTTAAAACTCTTTCTTCTCTTTTTTAACAACAAAAAGCCAATTTGTCCCAAATAAAACCAAAGACACCCTGTATGTTTTCTTTCCACATTCAGGACTATGTGATGTTACCCAAGAAAAGAGTTTCTTTCAAATTTTGTCCGACCCACGTAAACACAAGTGCGACATAATCTANTAAACAAAACAGGATGAATGTGTTTTAGTTATTAAAGTTAATTCTTTCACATAAGGGATAATCATTTATGTGTTTTCTGGTTCATTCGCTTTGGTATATTTTAATTTTGCGTAATTAACTATAAGAAATCAGGGCCAAAAACTCTGCATTCGCTTTAATACTACATCGAACACATAGTCTTGGCATCAAGGTTGTTGGTAGCTTCTTGGAATCAATTTGTTATACTGTGAAAAAGGTACATTGAAATTATTTGACTTTTTCCCAAAAACAGAGAGAAAGTAACCAATAAAGCCGAACACAATACAAGGCCGTTTATTAGAAGGCATTCATTTAGTTGACGACAATAGGCCTTTTCCACGATGGAGTCATTTTACTACTACTTAAGTACAGAATCCTTCCGGGTTTTTCTTTCTTGTGCAAATTAGTCTTGGCGTTTTCAATGAATAGTGTTACGTTATTACCTATGAAAAACTTTTAAAACTCTTTCTTCTCTTTTTTAACAACAAAAAGCCAATTTGTCCCAAATAAAACCAAAGACACCCTGTATGTTTTCTTTCCACATTCAGGACTATGTGATGTTACCCAAGAAAAGAGTTTCTTTCAAATTTTGTCCGACCCACGTAAACACAAGTGCGACATAATCTATGAAAATCTCTTGAGACCATTAAGTGATCTGAATGGGGGAAACAAAACATGCAAGCTGAAAAAGTCTTTACAAAGCCGTTTATTAGAAGGCAGTTGTTGATGATGAAATAAATTCCCATCATTAAGTTTTCATTATATAGCAGCATTTCATTTTACAGAGCAAAACCGAAAGGAGTCCTCAGCAAAAGCAACGAGGCCAAACGTTCCAGAAATTTGTTGAGTTTTTCAGATTGATAGGCAAGGTAAGATAAAAGCAAGGGTTTATATTTGCCACCTTCAAAGC